AGTGGTGGTAAATCATGTTCGTAGTAGGAACACTTGATATGATGTGATAAGGATGGCATTTTACCTCTGTGGCCTTCTTCCGCTAAACCCATAACTAATGAGAAAAAAATCAGACATGAATTCTGGTAGTGGGGCAGCTGACAAAATGGACAGTACTCCTCGAAACAGATTAAGGAAATCTGAATAAAATGTGGACTTTAGTTAATTATAATGTATCAATATTTGTTCATTAAGTGTAACAAATGTACCATAATGTGAGATGTTAATAATAGGGGAACCTGGGTATGGAATATATGGGAACTCTACTGTTATCTCAGTTTTCTCTGTAACTCAGACTATTAAGAATAAAGTCTAGTTTTTTAAAGAGTGTATAATAAATGTACTGAACAATATAAAAGTAAATTTAAAATTCAGGTGTCTGTGTCCTACTCCCCTGAGCTTAACTATAAACCTGGGAAGAGGGCCTTAGCATCTTTTGTTTAAGCATTCTAGGTACTTTGCATAAGTGGCAGACGTCTTTGCCACAGGCATTTTTACTACATTTATTTTGACCATGTGACTAGTTGGCAGTAAGGCAGTTTTGCTGGAAAAGATAAAATAACAAAAAAATGAAAGACGTTAATAGGGACAAAATGAAACCTGAAAAATGAGTAACAAAATTAAAAAGACTATTATGAAATATAAATATTTAATGCATTTCCGATTTGTGTAAATTCATGACATTTCCGCACAAGTAACTGCTTTTATTTCGTGAGTTGTGCCTCAGCACTTGTCTTCTGGATCTTTCATTCACATGTACTATATAGTTACTATGTGATCGCAGTTGGTTGAGTCTGTGGATGTGGAACTGCAGGCACAGAGGTGGACTGTCAAGTTATATGCGAATTTTTGACTGTGCAGGGGTTGGCACTCCTAGCTCCTGCATTGTTCAGCTGTATTACACACGTTTTTGCTTATTGATTCATCTTCTTGTTCAGCATCATACTTTTTAGCTATAATTTCTTCCTTCCTTGAGAGAGGTGTTAGTTTCCAGATTCTAGGATGCTTGTTTGTTACTGTGCTTTGTATTGTGTTGTGAAAGCCTTCTGCACTGTTACTTGTATCACGTCTATTAATGGATATTCCAAAGTTCAGTGAGAAATGGGGAATCAACTCTGCACCTTTGACACCCTCTTAAGAAGTGTATTTCAAAATAAACCTGCTCTTGGGGCAAATCATTCTCATCCATCAGCTCGATAAAGACATCAGTAATGTTGCTAACTGGAAGAGATGCTAATGCATTTCAGCCAGTTGAAACCAACCTGTCAGCCAGTTACTTTATTTTCCATGGCATATTTGCCTTATGGCCAATTAGTTATGTGGCAAAAATACTTGCTGCAAAGATGTCTGTGGCAAAGATATGGTGAAAATACCAGATGTGGTTTTAAGCTTCACAGATGATTCCAGTGTGTGAGCAGAGCTGAGACATTGTCTTAGGAATTCACTCCTGCTTAAAAAACAATTTCTGAATTAAAAAAGATAATGAACAGTCAATTCCTGTATATTCAAATCATTAACAGAGTTTTGTTTTTTGTTTTTTTGTGTGTTTTTCCTCTCTACAGTTGTTTAGATTTTTTAAGGTGTGTGCTCATGGTTTGTTTCCTTATTTCTTTTTAGATGTTTATCTTAATATACTGATGCCTCATAATATTTTTAAAGCTTGGCCACATTGTTTCTTGATGTCCAGTGGCAATGTTTAGTAATCTCTCTGGCTTTTTTTCAGGCCACATTTTCTGTTACTTCAGTTTGTGGGGACTCTGACTCATTGTCAGATAATGTCTAAATATTCTACCAAACACACCTATAGATCATAATCATGAATAGCAGAAATCTCTTTTTCATAGGCTAGTTATTACATTTCTGCCCTCTTGGAATTCTGTAATTTCTCAACCATATAGTTGAATATAGTCTGTAAACATTTGCTAGTCTAGAAAGTTACTTTATTCCTTATCACTGAAGGCTTTCCAGCTTGGTACACAAATGCTTATCTTAAATAAATATCCTTAATACTTTGTATAATTCTTTTTGTTTGCTCTTTAGTCTCTTAATAATGCTAATAGAATTCATTAGGTCATGTTTAACAAGAAGATTGTTTTATATCTACTTCTTCTAAGCCATAAGTTTTTTCTTTTAGTATTTTTCTTCTCTCATTGATGTGTTTATTTAATTTTTTAGTTATAGAGACTTCTAGTTTGGTCAAAATAGCATTAATGATGCATATAATTTACCAAAAGTAAGTTTCTAGAAGGAAGTATCCCTTGTTGCCTTGCTTTCCATCTTACTCTAAAATCCAGACCCTGATACCTCTTTCCTGACTGTTAGCTTCTGTCTTCTTTAGGAGCTTGCTCTGGTTTCTTCCTGTTCCAGTCCCTGCTGTACATTGCTGTCAGCTCTATCTTTATAAAACACAGTTTGATCATGTTACTGCCTTGCTCTGGGAGCCTTTGTCTCTCCCCCTTGGATATAGAATAATATGAACCACTCGTGTTTATTGATCACACAGAGTACTGAATGTTTTATAGCCATCAAGTAATTTAATTTTGACAAGAACTATATACAGCTAGTACTCCTGTTATTCTCAATTTATAGAGAAACTGAGCGTAGAGAGGTTAAGCAGTTTATCTAAGATGCTATAGTTAATAGGTTGCAAAGCTTGAACCCAGCTCTCTTGAGTCCAAGTCTTTGTTTGGCTCTTGCTGGGCTCCTGTGTGCATTTTTGCCCTCTTTCTACCCATTGTCCCTCTGCCCCCACTACCTCCTTCTTCAGTTGTAGGGGTCCACTTACTTTCTCTCACCTACCTTGTATTTTCTCAGTGATGACTCTTACACTTCTACTTTCACTTTCTGCCCATGGAAACCTTACTTCTCTCTTTTATGATTCTGCTTAAATATCACTGTTAAAGTGGTAGTCTCCCTTCTCGATTAAAGTTTTTTATTCCCTCTTCTAGAATTTTATTTTTCATTCTTGACATTTCCTTATCATGTTATATATTTGTTTTTATTTCCATCTTTCTACTAGATTGTAAGCCCCTGGAAGGCAGGGACTGAGTGTCTTACCTTTACAAACTGTAGGGCCACTGCCTAACACTTAGAAGACGTGCAAAAATATGAATTTTTAAGATGAGTTTTATTCATATGAATATTTTGTTAGAGATTTTATACGGATGAGATGTGGGGTTCTTTACTAATCCTTAAAAATCATTGCAACCAAGTTATGGGGATGTTTTCTAATTTAATAACAACTAAATAAATTAAATTTTAAATTAAAAGTTATTGAAAATAATTTTTTGATTCCATATTTTTACTCTTCAATGGGAAATTCTTATGCTGTTGGATATATGTTTAAAGTATATTATAAAGTTTTATAAATATTATTGGTAACTCAAATAATTGAAAGAATTAGTTTTGTAAAACTAAATATTTCTGCACTTTTCCATTACGTACTCAGGTTTAAAAAATACAAATAAACTCAAATTTCTAATTGTCATTACTTTGAATTTTTAAAAATTTAACTTTTTCCCCCAAATCGAGACCTTTTTAGACATATATACTATAATTTTTAATGGGAAAATTAAGGTCAGAAAATAAGATGAAACTCAGTTGGTATCTACACCTAAAACACGTGCCATAAGATCCTAGACTGATGCTAGAAGTAGGCTACAAATTTGGCTTGGCCTGTTTCAGTGGCCAAAGTAAACAAGTTACATGATCAAATCGTTCATATTGTAAAACCAATCGGAGAAATTTCTTTTGTGGGTCCGTACAAAGTAAGGGCTACCATGTGAAGTAGGTGGACCATCCTCAGCAACATCGCTGCAATAAATGCGGTTACAGTTCAGTGTGATGGGTACATATCAGGCCATTCAGTGTAGGCCAGTGACACAGTTCATTAAAGGATACGCTATGAGGAGTCAAATAAATCAATGAGAATATGCAATTTTGAGATCAAATAAAGAAATCTGAAATATCTAGAGCAGCATTTTCTAAGACACTGGTAGTTCAGAAAATGATCTTTCTTATTGTTTTAAAAATTAAACATGTATTTTGTAAACCAAGTACTTCAAATTTTCTCTTAAATAACTTTATTAACTATAAAAACTTATAGAACTCACCTTTATATTTTAGTCTTTGGCATACTAATCCCCAAAGTGTCTCCACATTGTCGTCACAAATTATAGAAGCCTTGACATAGTATACACAAAGGGCATATGTGAGCAGATCTGCAAGTCTCCTACTCTCACCAAAGGTTTTTTAAAAAGAAAGATGCCATAAAGAATTATGTATTTATAATTACAATGAGTAGATTAAAGGAAATACTAGATAAATGCTAGAGACTATAGGTGCATTTGGCAGAAATGTTACAGTTGGTACTCTTGTGACTGTAATTTGGGAATTACTGATCTTCTACCAGCAGTATTCAATAGAATTTACTGTGATGATGGAAGTTTTCTATATCTGCACAGTCTAAAATGGTAGCCAGTAGGAAAGGGCAATTGAGCACATGCAATGTGGCTAGAATGACTGAGGAACTAAACTTTTAATTTTATTTAATTTTAATTAACTTAAGTTTAAATAACTGCATGTGGCTGGTAGCTATAACCATATGGGAAGCTTTAGTTCTAGAGGACAGGAAAGACTTCCCATCTCTCAGGCTTTGTAAGAATATCATTAGTAAGTTCAAGATTGTATTCTCCATCAATAACTGAATAAAGAAATTCTATACTTCTAAGAGACGTGCTAAGATAATAATTATTTATCTTGCTTACTTTTATGTTTTTGAACCTGAAAACTGATCAGGATGTTTGAGTATATGGTTGATCTTTTTGGTATTAGTAGAATTGTTAGCAAGTAAACAGTGTTAGGCTAAAAACTACATTTAAAATTATTTGATAAGATTGAGACATTTACTTACTAAAAATGAAAAGCTGTGGGTATACTGATATAGGACTATTTTCCTGCAGTTTCCAGAGTGTGGATTCTTTGGCATGTATGACAAAATCCTTCTCTTTCGCCATGACATGAACTCAGAAAATATTTTGCAGCTGATTACCTCAGCAGATGAAATACATGAAGGAGACCTAATAGAAGTTGTTCTTTCAGGTAAGTAAATAGCTTCTTTTATTTTGTTGCCTTTTTTTTTCTTAGTGAGCCTTACTTTTTGTACCAAATGCTATGTTCAGTTTACTTAGTCTCTGTACTATAGTTGCTTACTTCTTTCATCAGTATTAATGGTTACTATATGATTTTTACTTTCAGGAAAGTTATATCACAGATGAGAAGGTAGGAGAATAAGCCCTGAATTACTTGAGTGTTACTAAGCTAAGGGAATTATCAGTTGAACTGGAAGAAGAATATATTCATCTTTGAGTCAAAGAAATAAAACAATTACACTGAAATTCTGTTCTGCTTTCCCCATTTCTGTGAAAAGCATAGAAGAGAACTAGGGTTTAGGAAAGAACATCAGAAGAAAGGAGAAATAATGAAAATGTGAAAGAGGAAACTGCAATACTGGTTAATTCCATAACTTAATAATGCTTTTTCCCTTTTTGTTCTTGATAGACATTTTCTTCTTCTCTCCTTTCCCTCTCATCCGTACTTACCATCAATCCTTCCTTAGCTGCTGCTGTTTCCGATCTCATCCAACAACAGGTGGGCAGGATTGCTAGTGAGGAGTGTAAAGGAACAAAGAATGCATATAGTAGGACTGCAAAATTTCTTGTTTGACAATAAAGGAAGAGGGGAGGGAGAGAGAAAAAGCAGGAGGGAGAGTGAGAAAGAAGAGATAGAGGAGAAGGAAAGGAAGGAAGCCCAGCCAAAAGTCCAGAGTCCTGCCACCTTTCTTCCCCTCTTCCCAAACTCATCTGTGCCACCTGTTCTTGAGATCGTCTCTGACCATCACCTTTCCTTATTAGTCCCTGATCCTTCCCATTCATCTAGTGCCTACACTGATCATTCATCTTCTCCACCAAAACCTCAGATTCTGTACACTTCCCAATCCTTGTCTTCCTTGTCACTCCAGAGGGGCTTCACTCCCTGTCCTCCCTGGTGGTCATGCTAACCTCTATTTCTTCTTTGCTCTGGACCATTCATCAGGACACAGGAATATCCACTAATGACTTGCAGGTGTATTTGAGAGGACGTCTGATGGTGGTTGTATCTGCTACTGTTCAGTTGCTCACAGGGGGAGGAAAGTCTCTTTTTTCCTAACCACTAGGGCTATGGAGAACAGACAGAGTGTATCCTGGGATCCTAAGTTAGAACTCAGTGCGTTTTCCACAGAAACATTGTTATATGTTAAGTCCCACAGTTTTTGGTTTTTAACTTTAGTGTTCTATTTCCCAGTATAAGTTAAGTAGTTCTTAACTAGCTAAAATAGATCTAACAATTATTTACAGTCTTGTCACTGTGAGAGAATGCTTTTGGAGGTCAAATGCCTGCCTGCAGACCTACTTTGGGAGCTCAAATTAATTGAAGCCGTTGAACTTCCTGAAAGAGTTTGAAAACCACACTATTAAATGCTGAAAATTTTATACTTTGATATAAATGAATATGGTCAATGGTCTTAATCTCATCACAATTACAAGCATAGGGTTTATTTGAATATTTTCCTTTTTTAAAAGCTTTGGCCACAGTAGAAGACTTCCAGATTCGTCCACATACTCTCTATGTACATTCTTACAAAGCTCCTACTTTTTGTGATTACTGTGGTGAGATGCTCTGGGGATTGGTACGTCAGGGACTGAAATGTGAAGGTATGTGTTCCTAAGTTTTCTATCATTTGAAATAGGATTTCACATTTACATTCTCTAATTGTCAGTGAAAGAATAAGATCATTGTTCAGTGACTAGGTTTAGAATTGGAGTGATCTGGTTGTTTTGAATTAGAATTGCCAGGGGGTCGGATGCAGGTGCACATTTCTAATTAGTTCTCTAAGGTCAATAAACTTTTTCTGTAAAGGGCCAGAGAGTACATAGTTTAAGTTTTGCCGGCCATGTGGTCTCTGTTATAGCAACTTAACTGCTGTTGTAGCATGAAAATAGACATAGACAAGTTGTAAACAAATGAGCATGCTGTGTTCTAATAAAATTATTTATTAACACTGAAATTTGAATTTCATATAATTTGCACGTGTCATAGGAGGAATTTTGAACACAATCTGCAGTTTGCTGAAGTTCTTTAAGACAGTGGTTCCCAGACTTCACTGTATATCAGAATCACCTTGAGAACTTGTTGGAACATACTTTTCTAGGTCCCATGCCCAGAGTTTCTGGTTCAGTAGGTCTAGGGTAGAACCCAATAGTTTAGATTTCTAAAAAAATTCTCAGGTGTTGCCCTGGAGAGCACACTTCAAGAACCACTGCTCTAGCTAACTTAACCTTTCTAAATAAACCTTTCTACACGTTTGCTATTCTTAGCTTGTCTTTTGGGTTCTTCACTAGGATAACTGTTGCTGCCAGAGAAAATAAAAGAAGAACCTATTTTTCATGTACACATTTACATAGTAAAGTTTTTAATCAGTGTATTTTGTATTTTTTATTTTTTAACCTTTTAAAATATTTTTAGGCTGTGGATTAAATTATCATAAACGATGTGCCTTCAAGATTCCAAATAACTGTAGTGGTGTGAGAAAGAGACGTCTGTCAAATGTCTCCCTGCCAGGACCTGGCCTCTCAGTTCCAAGAAACCTCCAGCCTGACTGTGTACCCCTTCTCACTGAAGAGGTATGTATTCCAGGGTAGTAGAAAGGCGTTTTACTACTTACTATGTTTTTGCAGGGTATATGACATTATCCTAAAACCTAAGTTGTGTACTAAAGAATAGTAACATTCCTACACTTAAGAAACTTAAAATGTATTACTGCAGACAGGGCTTACCAATAGTAACGGACTGCATTCTGTATACTTTGGGATCACGTCATCACTTGGACCACAAGATCGGTCTCCTAGCCAGTATCCTGACTCCTGGGCTCCATACTTTACTATAGCTTAGTGTACAACTCTGATTATATCGCTCCCCACTAGGAAACCCTTACAATCTGTGCTGTTCATCATTCCCTGAACACGCCCTCTCTCTCCTATGTTTGCTCTTGTTAGTATTCCTCATACGTACTTTTCCCAGACCTAGCTCAACAGCTATCTTACCTGATTTTCCTCTTACCTAGAAGTTATTTTTCTGAATGCCATATCACTTTTCAGACCTCCCTAATGGTATGTGTGGCATTCTACTTAGTATGATAGTGTTTATGTACTAGATTGTCCTCAAAGAGTTCACAGTCTGTTTAGAGAGGACAATGCTCATGTCTTTGTTTGCCCCACCATACCCAGCATCATACCTTGTTCTTTAGTAGGTGCTCAGTGATGAATGAGCATTTGAATGACCCCTTGATCCTTAACAGTATTCCAGTGAGATGGATTAGTAGATCTGTATACCATCAGACAGTTGGGACTCAGAATGGTCAAGTGACTTGACTGAAGTGACATAGCAAATTAGTAAGCAGTATTAGAATTGAACCCAGATCTGATTATTTTTAAATCAGTGACCTTTCCTAATAATATTGTACCCCACAAAGATAAATGTAGTAGATAGAGAGCAAAGAAATAATTACCTTACTCATTTGGTACTACTTTAAATGACTTCCATCCATAGATTGCAGTCTTGACATTTAGTTATTTCTGTAACCCCTTTGGTCTTTTGTATATTAATAGCAAAATCAAACATTTGGACTGTTGTCTTGACACCCTTGTCACAAGATTTTGCTAAACTGAAGCACCAGAGTAAGGAGCTTCTGAAATTCTTTCACAAAAATCCTGTATTTCCATGGGGTGGGTATAGCTCAGGGACGCATACATGCTTAGCATGCACAAGGTCCTGGGTTCAATCCCCAGTACCTCCATTAAATAAACCAATGAATTATTCATCAATCAATCAGTCTTATTCTAAAAAATTAAAAGTAAATTAAATAAATGAAAATCCTGTATTTCCATATTGCTTAGCCATACTATGAGATTTTAAAAATAGAAGAAGAGTGCTATGGCATTAGAAACTGAGAGCAAAGAGTTATTATATACATATGAAAGAGCTTGGGAAAAGATTGGTAATAGAAAAGTTAATGCATTTTATACATAAACTGCACTGGAAACTTAGCTGGGATTGGGAACTAAAGGATAAGACATGTTGTTTTGAGAATCCCACAAGTATTATCCATGTGTCCGCCACACCCACTATTACAAGATTAGGAACTAGCAGGACAGAGCAGATGAGTAAAGTATTGAGTTTTAATTCATTCATTTTTATTTTATCCTGAAGATGCAAATTCTTTAGGAAAGTATAAGAAGTCTAGTGGCGTGTTTGAATTGGTTATGTTGTGCAGAGTATTTTAGAAAAGCAGAAATTGTAGAGTGGGATATCTCAAGATTACTTTTGTCAGTCAAAGCATGAAATCTCAAAAATGAATGTGTAGTTAGAGACGTGCTAAGAGCTCATGAAGGGAAATCAGAGGGAAAGAAGAATGGGAAAAGAGGACACTTTAAAGGAATGGAGGAGACAGCAGTGAGGAGGTGGGAGCACCCTCAAATCTGAACCAAGTTTGGGGAAAAACTCATAAGTTCTCACTTGCCAGTCTTCATCCTGGATGCCTGACTAATCCTCACCACAGTCCTGGAACATACAGCTGTTATCCTGATTTCATAGATAAGGAGTAAGGAGGGAAAGTTTCTGAGGAGTCAAGATATTAAACTTCATTGACTGCTGAAATAAGAAAAGGCCAGTTGGGAATAGAAGCCTTTGAATCTAACTCTGAGGTTGTCATTGTCTACATGTAAGAAGGTAGTTTCTGTTAGTGTCTGAAGTCAGTTTAAAGGGAATCAAGTACAGACATGGAAGAGCAGAAGATAGACTGTTCACTGAATTTGTTTGAAATGGGACCACTGAGATTAGAGAAACCAGAATTGAACGATGGCTATTCTTCAAAAAGGCCTTTTATTTTCTCCTCCCTACATTTCTCCTGTACACTTCTTTGTCTCTTGGTTTCTCCTGCTTTCTTTGCTTCCATTGGTTGAATATGCCAATGTAGCATGCTTCAACTCTGAGTTAACAGTCATTACTGGTTATAGGAGGCAGTTCTGACAGTAAAGGTGCAGGCAGCTACAACAAAATCTGTAATACATCTAGATGGTAGGTAGGTATTTGAATTTTGTTCTTGACATGAACTGTATTCATTTTTGTATCCCCGATATATAGTATAGGGCCTGGCCTACAGTAATCAGTGAATGTTGAATGAATGGGATGAGCCACCTTGATCTGACTGTAATCTAATTTGGTTATTTCCTTTGTATACATAGAAAGGTCCATAGTTTAAAAATCCACTTAACCCTCAGATTACATAAAAAATTTTAACTAACACTTTCTTTAATTTTCGTTTTTGCTCACCTGAGTGAAAAAACCCAAATGATTAGAAAATACTTAAAATATCAAGGAACTTCTTAAAGCATAATTACTAAGGGTAAAATTGTTATAGTTTTTTATCTGCCATCATTTCATCATTTATATCATCATCATTAATTAAACTTAGATTTTCACATACATACTTTAGTATTTGTTAAAATAAATTTGAAAAACTAAGACTTGTTTTGAAATATTTTCAGACGTTATGTTCAGCATGAGCAGCAGTAACACTTTCTGACTTTACTTTTCCTGTGATTAATTTCTTGGTAAGGTTTTTGAAGGGATTTGAAAGTGTCATAAATTCATTTTAAGGTTTTTGTTTTTTATTTGCAAAATGCTGTCTGTGCCTGGCAAATAATAGTTAATCAGTGAATATATGTATGTGAGGATGAAAATCTTTTTTTTTTTTTTAACACAATAGCAAAAAATTCTGCACTTTTTTCTCATTCAAGGGCTGGGAAATTCAGCTTCCAAAAGAAACTGCTGAGATCCACATTTTTAGATTTTTGGCTTTAGTGTTTGAAATAAATGACTTTTGTGGTCAAGTATTGCTCTTAATACTTTCTTTTTAATACTGACTTACACTTCTGGAAATTACTTATGTTTTAGTCACATGTTCAAGAACCTAGTAAGAGAATTCCTTCTTGGAGTGGTCGCCCGATCTGGATGGAAAAGATGGTAATGTGCAGGGTAAAAGTTCCACACACGTTTGCTGTTCACTCTTACACGCGCCCCACAATATGTCAGTACTGCAAGCGGTTACTGAAAGGCCTCTTTCGCCAAGGAATGCAGTGTAAAGGTAGGATTGGATGTTTTTCTTAAGTAAAATTGATATCTTTTTGTTAGCCAATGTAGGTTTAAAATATTTTTATTTCAGAAGCATTAAGCAAATAAATTGGTCTCATAGTTGTTAACTTAGAAAAGAAAAAATATACATACACAGGTGTTTGTTAATAACGACTACTATCCACAACGTGTATTGTGTACCAGGAACTATGCTAAACAAAAATTAGAATGTAAAAGGAAAAACTAGAATTTGGATCTGTAGGTGTGGCTGCTTAACACTTGGCAGTATGGAATGGTTAGTTAGCAAGTAAGCTGATATCTGAGCCTAAGTCCTTTTGATGCCAGAGCTAGACACTACCAAAAATACAAAATAATACTTTCCTGTTTCTGTTAAATATTCATACACGCACACGTATTCCAAGAGTTTTTTGTTTTTGTTTTTAATTATGTAACTATCAGAGCTATACAAAAATTGTCATTTCAGATAATAGTTACACTGAAATAGACAGAATATATTAGAAGGTACTGGAATTATAGTGGGTCACTATGGGGAATTACAAGGACCATCCATATTTGGATGCTAACCCAGAACACTATCATAGTATTCTAAAAACATCTCGTAATGAACTAGGTTTTTTAATAGACTAATGGAGTTTTTCCTATAGTTATATAATGTTTTAATGCTTTTTAAAGATGATTTTATCTTTTTGTCTCATAGCTTCTCAACAGTAATGCACAATTATGTGAAAACCAAAGCAGAGAGTTTAAATGTGTTATTAGGCTTTGAGCCAGGATAGGGTATAAGTAATCTGTCTGTAATATTATGTACTTATTTTTCATCTGATTACTTTAACAGTTCTTAATACCATACTTTTTATATAGAACTATTTTTTTTATATAGAACTATTTATGGAATTGAATTACCTATTATCTAGGTAAAACATTAGAGTTGAGATCTTTGCAACAATAAATCCTGCTAACAATATTAAGCCAAGTAATTACATGTAGATTTAACTTGAGCATATAAGAAAACTTTTCTTGGCGTTATATGGCTACACAGGAGACCATCAAATAGAGAACAGGTTGTACATTTGTTGCCAGGCATTTAATAACCATCACACAGGTTTAATGAAATGTTGAAATTTTATTTCAACAGCTTACTTTTGAATATGAGTTAATATATAAGTTAATACTTTTAAATACCAACACTAAAGTGTATTGGCAAGCAACCACTAAGGAATGTTTTGGGAAAGAACATTAAGAACAGATGTACGAATTCTAGCCAACAGATAATCTTAGTCAAGGTAGTAACTGGTGCTGTTCTACTGAGCAGAATGGAAGCATTCTAAAACCATGTGCAGAGAAGTACAGTATTTTATACAGAAACTAAAATAAATATGTAGATTAATTAATTTTGAAATAAAACCAGTTAACTCTGCCACTCTTTTATTAGTTTAACTTCTTAGAGTTCTGAAAGAATAATGTTTTATGCTTATATTGGTTCAGAAAGAAGCAGGTTATACTTCTATACAGCTAAGCTGTTTTAGTTATCCATCAAAATAATTGTAATTTACTTCAGTGATTCCTGTATTTTTATAATATGAATTAAGGTATTTAAAAAGCAGAATAGTCATTTTCATTCAGTTGTCAATCTATGGAAAAAAAGAAATAGTTAAGATAAAACAGTTACGCTGAATCATTTGAGAAAATATACATTTCTAAGAACATCTATTCATTCATTCATCTGTTTATTTTCTACTTTGTTACATTAAAATTTCAAGTCTGCTTATATAAGCATATATAAAATATAAGAAATAATTTATAAATTAATTAAAATGTGGGTAGGAATACAGAGGGGTAGAAATGCCTGTAATTAGAACCTACATACTTGCTACAGGTGGGCCACAGATTTGGTTCTACATTTGAAAGGGAAAATGGAAACCTTGTTATTTTCACAATTTGCAAGCCTCATGAGAGATAAAGAACAAATTAATGATTTAATGTATGCAAGATATTAATACTGTATATGACTTTTCCTAGGTCCTCTTATTTTAAAAGACATTATTGTATAATGCAAGTTTTATCATCCACCAAATTATTAATTTCTTGGAGCTTTTCTAATAATGACCTTTTACCCTGTGCTTTTGGCACGGTACCCAGAATTTTCTTGAATCACAAGGGTTACAAAATTACTCTAAGTCAAGACATGAAATGATTTTTACCTAGTTATTGCTGGTAGAAGTATTTCAAAGGTAGTGTTTAGACAGTAGTTACAGCAGTGGGTCTCAATTTTAGTGTTACCTAAAGAAGATATTAAAGCACACATTTCCCAGCTCCTCTCCCAGAGCTGCCAATGTAGTGGTCAGGAGTAGGGCCCAAGAATGTGCATTTCTATCAAGTTCTCTAGTGATGCTGAAGCTGCTGGTTGGTGACCACAGTTTGAGAACCACTAAGTTATACAGATGTACTGAGCAGCTTGGACCTGACTGATAGATCTGCAGTGCTATCACCTCTGAGGTTCTTGCAGGCTGAAGAACAATTATGTACTGCCAGTGAGAGACCTTGTGCATGGGAAGCTCAGTCCTTCCTTACAAGGTTGTATGGGAAAGCCCATAATTCCTAATAAATTGTTGTAGAATTGCAGTCTCGTTTCTGCTTATGCACCAGGTCCTATTAACTAGGAATTGAAAGTAAGTGCCTGACATATGTTGGAAAAGAATTTAATCAGCCTGAGAAACTCTTAAGGAGGATGTGGAAAGAAGAATGTGAGGTAAAGAAAGGAAACATGATGCTGCCAGCAACATTTTGGCAAAGCGTTATACAAATAGTGTAAAATGTCATTTTACAGATAAAGAAACTGAGCCCTGATGGCTTAAACAACTATTAAGAAGTGGTGTCAGAGTTTGAAATCAGACCCTTAATCTAATACCTGGGTTCTCAGTAAAGGAAAACTTAATTATTTCATCATCATTATTAAGAATACTCTGTGTGAGTAAAGAAAGTCTTTAACCATATTTGTTACTGCATGACTTTTTTACATAAATTAATAAGCTGACTATTTTATTTTAGATTGTAGATTCAACTGCCATAAACGTTGTGCATCAAAAGTACCGAGAGACTGCCTTGGAGAGGTTACTTTCAATGGAGGTAAAAGTCTTTTTCTTAATTTCCATAAAAGATTGGAAAAGATCACAGGTGTTTTTGTATATTGTCTTTGTATAAGGTTATATTTGCATATTTTATTTACTTTCTTAACTCTGGCCTTTTTTCAGAGATCAGGAATGGTACGCTTTTATTAATTATGCCTTCTTGTCTTCCCCTTAACAACCTACCACTGTAGTCTTATATGGCCAGTCGTGCTCCATAGCTTCTTTTATCTTTAGCCATAACAAAACGTATTTTAAAACCCTGCCGTTGTCCCTAGAACTATTTCATAGTTCTAATAATTATTGACTACAGCCAGGCACTGTTCTAAACTCTTTACATATTGACGTTTAAACCTAAGAAGGACCGTTTGAAGTAAGGACTTACAGGTGAATAAACTTAAGCACAAAAACATTAAATGAATTGCTCAGAAAGTACAACCAATAAGAGGTAGAGTTGGGATTCCAGTCTGTAAGTTCTGGCTTCTTAGTCCGTATTAACCTTTAGAACTGTTGTACTATCTCACTTTTTCTTTCTCCATCGAATAATCATTAAACATTTTCTCTTTTTTGCCTATTTTTTTCTTTTCAAGATTATATTAATCACAGTGATTACCTTTTTTAGAAGTAAATAGTAATGAGTTTAAACTTTCAGCATAATTTTTCTTTAACATTTATGTGACTAGTAAAAATTGAATGTAAGTAGTTTTATAGGAGGAAAAGCATCAAGAATGAAAATTAAAGTCCTTAAGAGTTTGACATTTTCTCTTATGGCATGTTTTCTGTAGTTGCTGTGTAACACAATTGACAAAGCATGTCTGGTTTTCTCATTTCAGTTACTTCGAATGCAGTTTTTCTATATGACTAAAGCCTTTTCTAGATTTATATAGTTCGTGTATTTTTGTACTTTTCTACCTTTTGACAAATGGATATGAAATACTGTTTATTTTAATTTAATCTGTATGTTAATGAGTTTGAGCATCCTTCAACTGTTAACTGATTATTTAGCATTTTTTCCCCCTATATATTGCCTATTTACATGTTTTGTCCATTTTTCTCTGTTATCAATTTGCAGGAGTTGTCAGTAGTTCTGCTAAGTCTTTGTCAGTTTTATGTGATACAAATACCTTCTCTCGGTTGTGACATATCATTCTTAAGCAGCTTTATTGAGATATAATTTGTATACCTTACAATTTACACATTTAGTTTACTCACAGAGTTATGCAGCCATCACTACAATCTAATGTTAGAACATTTTCATCACCCCAAAAAACTCAGTATTAGTCACTCACCATTTACTCTTTCCCATTAGCCCCTGGCAACCACTAAATCAGCTTTTATCTCTATGTCTGTGTTATTTTGTCTCTATGTTTTTGTCTATTCTAGACATTTCATATAAATGAAATCATACAATGTGTAGTCATTTGTTATAAATTTCTTTCCCTTAGCATAATGTTTTCAGCATTCATCCATGTTGTAACATGTATCAGTACTTAATTCTTTTATATTGACAAATAATATTCCTCTACGTGAATATACCACACTTATCCATTCACCAGTCAGTGGATATTTGAGTTTTATCCACTTTGGGGTTATTATGAACAATGCTGCTATGAACAATTGAGTGCAGTTTCTGTGAGCATGTTTTCATTTCACTTGGGTAGCTAGCTGGTAGTGGAATCACTAAGTCATGTGGTAACTCTGTGTTTAACATTCTGAGGACTGCTTAACTGTTTTTCAAAGCAGCTGTACCATTTTACATTCCCACCAGCAGTGTGTGAGGACTCTAATTTCTTATCTTTGCCGCCACTTGTTATTGTCTGTCATTATGATTATGATTGGAATCCTAGTGAATGTAAAGTTATGTCTCATTGTGGTTTTGATTTGCATTTCCGATGGCTAATTGATATTACACATCTTTTTATGTACCTATTGGCCATTTTTACATCTGCTTTGGAGAAATTTCTGTTCTGGTCCTTTGCCCATTTAACTAGGTTATTTATCCTTTTATTATTGAGTTGTAGCAGTTCTTTAAATATTCTGGATATAAGTCCCTTGTTTGATATATGATTTGCAGATACTTTCTCCCATTTTGTGGACTGTCTTCACTTTCTTCAGAGTATCATTTGTGGCACAGAAGTTTTTAATTTTGATGGAGTCCAATTAATTTTTTTCTTTTGTCATATATTTTTGGTGGGGTATCTAAGAAGGCTTTGCCTAACCCAAGGTCACAAAGCTTTACTTTTATGTTTTCTTCTGAGAGTTTAATAGATTAAGCTCTTTTTCTTTCCTTTTTTTTTTAATTGAAGTAAAGTCAGTTTACAATGTTGTATCAATTTCTGATTTATAGCATAATGTTTCAGTCATACATATGCATACATATATTCCTTTTCATGTTCTTTTTCATTATAGGCTACTACAAGATAACGAATAAAGCTCCCCTTGCTATCCAGTAGAATTTTATGTATAGTAGTATCTGCAAATCTCAAACTCTTAATTTATCCCTTCCCACCCCCTTTACCCCCACTGGTAATCATAAGTTTGTTTTCTATGTCTGTGAGTTTGTTTCTGTTCTGTAAATAAGCTCTTTTTGTCATTTTTTAAAATTCTACATATAGGTGATATCATATGGTATTTCTCTTTCTGGCTTACTTCACTTAGAATGACAATCTCCAAGTCCATCCATGTTTCAGTATAGATTAAGCTCTTACATTTAGGTCTGTGACCCACTTTAAGTAAACTTTTTAGTTTAAGGAAGACATCCAGTTTTATTTTTTTGCATGTGGATATCCAATTGTCCTAGCACCATTTATTCAACAGATTATTTATTCTTCCTTCATTATATTTTCTCAGACCCTGTGGAAAATCAGTTGACCAGATGTATAATAGTGGTGGCTTATCTTTTACTTTGCTTCTAGTATCTTTTGTCATATCAAAATTTGAAACTCTAATGTAATCAAATTAATTTTCTGCCTTATGGTTTGTGCATTTCATATCATCCTAAGAAATATTTTCTTATCCTGAATCATAAAGATGTTTTTCTATATTTTCATTTTTAAGAATTTTAAAACTTTTTTTTTTCTCACATTTAATATACTGTTTCTGTTTAGGTGTATTGATATCCCATTAATATAAAATTCTGAATTCATTTAAAACTTTGCCAGAACCTTCCAGTCTGGGAACAGATACAGATATACCAATGGATATTGACAGTAGTGACATGAACAGTGATGGTAGTCGGGGCTTGGATGACACAGAAGAACCGTCTCCCCCAGAAGATAAAATGTTCTTCTTGGATCCATCTGATCTTGATGTGGAAAGAGATGAAGAAGCTATTAAAACAATCAGGTAATGCATATGTATTGCAAGCTACTTCAAAATGCAAGTTCAGTCCAGGAGATCTGTTAATAAAGAGCAAACCACATTTCTTTAAATGGAACCTAAAATCTAATTAAACGGTGGCTAATTCTTTTACATGCACCACAGTATTTTTCTGAAATATATCACTCTTGCCATCTACTCAAGATGGGAAGATTTGAGAATCCTTTTTTCTTAAAGAGAAGGTCCTTTATAGCCTGTGTCTAGCTGTGGAACAGCCACCACAAACTCCCAGAATGGAGCCACTACTTAAAGCTTCCTGTTTCTTCACACAAGCAGATTACCTGATGTTAGAAATACCAGTAAGAATCTGTACCTGAGAATGTTGCACAAAGATGATAGTGGCGAATCTGGGGACAGTTTTCATATTACCACAATTAATCTGACTTATTTGTACTTTGTAAAAATGCTATTGGACTATAAAACTTTCATGTATCCTCCTGTGTTTATAGAAATTCAGTATTTTGTAGATACAGCCTATGTAGGATGTACTACTTTGTGATAAAATGTTGACATTTTAGCAGGTTTTGTTTTTCATTGGCAACAAAGAGGCATTTAGAGAAAGTAGATCACATATCAGTCTCACATGACTGAGTCGTCTTTATTCCATTTGTCTTATCATTAAACTACAGCTACTATTATCATCATCATTTTAAACTAAAACTCAATGTTTACCCAATTTGGAGACTATTAAGAGAATTTAGCTAGTTTCCCAGTCATAGGTACTTTATAATTTAAGAGAAAGTATTTAACTATTTGAGATTCAAATTGAAAAACAGTGTTTTTCACACACATCCCCCAAATTATTTGTTGTTTTTGTTTTCTTAATCAATATCCGTAAATGATTTCTCTTTCAGTATCTTCTACTATAAGTACTTTTTACTAACAACATGAATAGTAGAGTTTGACATTTGAACCGTGTGAATTGAGGTATAGATATGCTTGCTTTTTGCCTCGTTATGAATTTACTAATTTATCTTGCTGCCTAGGGCAGGAGATTCCTCAGCAGAAGTCCCAAATGAGACCCTCTCCCAGGCTCCAGATTTTCCATTTGGGGAGGATTCTTGCTGCTCTCTTCGTTGTTTTCTTATATCTTGTGACCCTCCAGAAAATATTGATGACAAGTGATGATGACTAACAATAGAATCTTGGCCTTTTATAAATTAACTATGTATCTTCATAACAGGATTAATTTATTTTCTTCTTAAGAAGAAGAATTGTTTGTCTTCCTAAGATATTTTAAAGAATGTTAGCCTAATTATCTTTCAAAAGGCTTGAGCAGCTTACAATATTTATGACTTTTTTATTGAAATTATAAATATTTGCATAAATTTTAAATATTTTTTAGTCCATCAACAAGCAGTAACATTCCACTAATGAGGGTCGTCCAATCCATCAAGCACACAAAGAGGAAGAGCAGCACGATGGTGAAGGAAGGGTGGATGGTCCATTACACCAGCAGGGATACCCTGGTCAGTAATCACAGATGTTTTATTATGGCAGTGAGACTTTGTTCTCTGCTTTGTTTTGTGCATTTTTTAAATCAGAATGAGAATGAGATATATATTAACACATCATTAGTACACTGAAACTGGTTACATTTGTAAAGAATTTTTTAAAGGTGGAATATTTAATGTATTATTTTTATATACTGGTAGAGCAGTAGAGATTCAGAAAAGGTCTGGATGTACAACACCACATGTACAACCCATGAAAAAAAATGGCAACACTGGACTTCATTATAATTAAAAACTTCTCTGCAAAAGAATGAGAAGACAAGCCATGGGCTACGAGAAAATATATGTGAAAGAGACATCCAATAAAAGATTGTTCTCCAAAATATACAAAGAACTCTTAAAATTTGATGGTAAAGAAACAACCTGATTAAAAAGTGGGCCGAAGCCCTTAACACATACCTCACCAAAGAAGTTACACGGATGGCAGATAAGCATATTGCTCCACGTCACGTGATCAGGGAAGTGCAAATTAAAACAATGATATACCACTACACATCTGTTAGAATCCTAATATCCCAAATCCTGAAACCCAAAATCCTAAACACCAATAACACTAAATGCTGGTAAGATGTAGAGCAACAGGAACTTTCTTCGATTGCTGGTAGGAATGCAAAATTGTATAGCCAACTTAGGAGGACAGTTTGGTAGTTTCTTACAAAACTAAATATGCTTTTTTCATATGATTCAGTAGTTGTACTCTTTGCCATTTACCCAAAGGAAAACAAACTTACATTCACACAGAAACCTACATATGGAAATTTATAGTAGCTTCATTCATAATTGCCAAAGCTTGAAAGGAACAAGATGTCCTTAGTAGGTGAATGGAGAAATAAACTGTGGTACATGCAGACAATGGAATATTAATGGAATATTATTCAACACAAAGAAGGAATGAGCTATCAAGCCATGAAAAGACATCTTAAATGCATAGTACTAAGTGAAAGAAGCCAGTATAAAAAAAGGGTTACATACTGTATGATTCTAACCATATGACATTCTAGAAACAGCAAAACTATGGAGACAGTGAAAAGATCAGGGGTGAGGGCAAGTAGGGATGAGAACACAGGATTTTTAGGTCAGTGAAAATGCTCTATATAATATCATAATGATGGATACATGTCATTATGCATTTATCCAAACATGTAGAATATACAGCACCAACAGTGAAACATAGTATAAACTGTGGACTTCTGTGATTATGATGTAGGTTCTTCAGTTGTAACAAATGTACCACTCTGGTGAGAGATGTTGATAATGGGGGAGGCTGCACATGCGTGGGGACAGGAGCATATGGGAAATGTCTGCATCTTCTTAATTTGTTAACCTGTAACTGCTCTAAAAAAGCAAAGTCTTTGTTTTTACATATCTTTTAAAACTTATAGTAAAAAAATTCTAAATGGCAAAAAACAAAAGCAAAGACAAATGACAGACTGGAAAACATACTTTCAACTCATTCTAAACAAGGATTAATTCCATTATATGTAAAGAGTGCCAACAAATTGATAAGAAAAAGACTACCACAACACAATAGAAAAATGGGCAAAGAATATGAGCAGAGAGTTCATAGACAAGGAAATACAAATGACTCTTAAACATAATATCTTGATCTTATTAATAAAAAATTCAACTTAAAATTTTACCAAAATACCAGTTTTTACTTATCAGTGTAGCAAAGATCAAAAAGTTTAACAAATGTGACAGTGAATATATGTATGTTCTTGTATAACTGAAAAATTGTGCTCTACACTGGAATTTGACACAACATTGTAAAATGACTGTAACTCAATAAAAAATGTTAAAAAGGTTTATTAACATGCTGCATTAGTGCAGGTTTGCGTAAACAGGCACTCTCATGTTGCTGATGAGACTATAAATTGGGTCAAATCTTGTGTAGGGTAATTTAACACTGTCAGTAAAATTACATGTGCACATATCTTTTGACTCAGCAAGCCAACCTTTAGAAATTTAGCCTATACTTAAATTACATACCTATATGTGTATGATACACATGTATTTGTGTATGCATGCTTTTATATTTTCCAAATGTTGAACCTTATGAATTTTAAACCTATTCAAAAGTACAGATTTATGAATAGAAAGGAAAGTACAAGCACTTTGGAGGAGTCATTATTTTTGAACCTCACTGTTTTATGCTCTTTATATAGAGAAAGAGGCATTATTGGAGACTGGACAGCAAATGTCTAACATTGTTTCAAAATGAATCTGGATCAAAGTATTATAAGGTAAAGATTTCACATTTTAAAAAATGTACGTTAGTCTATTGTATGTTTTCCAAACATAGCTAAATAATCGTTAATTGTTACATTGGAATATACCTATTACAGCTCTGCCTAATATAGTTTATAGATGTCACCTGTAAGTGCCTTGCTGAAG